GATCTGTTCCATAATACCCCATGCAATCAGAAAAAAGCACACACAGCAGCAACAGCACCTTACATAATAGTAAACAATCAAACATAAATGATTTTGATTACATGCTGGGATGACAATATCATAGCTAAAGGATTTTATAAGCTTTAGACTGTTCTGAGGGAATAGTTTCCATACTTCAATAAAGACTGTTAGGAGAGAATGAAATTCAAGAGTTGCAGCTTGGCTCATGCAGGAGTTCTCTCTTTTAGAGGAACCCTGAAAATACTAGTTTCTGTAGAAGTTTTAGATTTGGGTTTGTGTGGTGGAGTTTTTGTTAGCAGGGGATGGGCCACAGGGCTTCTCCAGCTCCAAGTCAGACCCATCTCTGGCCACGGCCGAGTCCATCAGTGCCTCTGTGACTAACATATTTAAGAGGGGAAAATAAACCAGCAGAGGAGAGAGGAATGGGATGTGAAAGAAACAACCAGGCCAACACCCAGGCCAGTGGAGAAGGAGGGAGAAGAGGTGCTCCAGTAGCTGGAGCAGAGATTCCCTGGCAGCCTGTGGTGCAGCCCATGGTGAGGCTGGCTGTGCCCAGCAGCCACGGGGGATCACAGACCCACCTGCAGCCTGGGGAGGACCTGATAGTGCAGCAGGTAGCTGTGCCCAAAGGAGGCTGTGACCCTTGGGGAAGCCCAGGCTGGAGCAGGCTGCTCCTGAAGAACCACAACCCATGGGAGGGACCCAGACTGGAGCAGTTCATGAAGAACTGCAGCCCATGAAGACTCCCGTTGGAGAAGTTAATGGAGAACTGTCTTCCATGGGAGGGACCCCACACTGGAGCAGGGGCAGAGTGTGAGCATGCTCCCCTGAAGAGGAAGGAGCAGCAGAGACAATGAGTGATGGACTGACCACAACCCCCATTCCCCATCCCCCTGCCCGTGTGGGAGGAGCTAGAGAAAATGAGAGCAAAGCTGAGCCTGGGGAAAGGGAGGGGTGGGGGAAGGTTTTTAAGATATGTTTTGTTTTGTCTCTCACTGTCCTATTCCGATTTGATTGGTAACTAATTAAATTGATTTTTCTTCCCCAAGTTGAGTCTGTGTTGCCCATGACCGTAACACTGGTGGGAGATCCCTCCCTGTCCTTGTCTCAACCCAAGAGCATTTCCTCATATTTTCTCCTCCCCATCCCACTATGAAGAGTAAGCAAGCGGCTGTGTGGTCCCAAGTTGCTGACCAAGGTTAAACCATGTCAGGATTTAAATTTAAGAATCTAAAACCAAGAAGATTTTAAAATAATGGGAAAGAGCCAGTTGAAAGTGTTAAAGAAATGAACTCCATAGTCTGCAATATCTGAAGTTCAAACATCAAAGAAACCTGTAGGTCACTGGAGACAGGCAAAGGAAACAGAGTTGCAGATGCAAACACTAACTAGGTAGAACACAAAGTGAGTAGCATGCTGCTTACTTCAGTTTTGGTTTAAATTTCTTCATTTTATATTATTATTTGTAAGATATGTAGGGAGTTTTAAAAATTTTTAATCTTCAAACTAAAAATGTAATGTGAAAAGGTTAGTTAGTTCCTAGTCACATTTTGTACTGCCATCTTAAGCACATTTTAAAAAGTCAGATCTTGAATTCCAAGGCTGTAGGACCACAGCTTTTCATCATGGCATGGGAGAATTTAGTTATTTTTCATGAGGTTAAAGCTTAAAAAAGGCTGACACAGCTCCAATCATACCATACTCGGCTAAAAAATGAAATTTCCGTTAAATAATGCTCCTAATCTTTCACCAAACATGACAGAACCTGATCTAGAGCACTTTTATATCAGAGGCAATTCTTCACAGATAAGTAAACAAAGCAATACAGCTGCTGAGAGAGCTCAACTGCTATAACAAAAAAATCTGTTCAGTCATTTATCTCAAGATAGACCTGCCAGCTATGTAGGACACAAGTTCGGAACACAAACTTTATTTTTTACAAGTCTTTTTAAAAAAGACTCAGAAGTGAAGGTTTCAAAATGACTAGCTCTTTTAGAGCTTGCACTCAAAATAACAGAACAGGAAAAAGAGGAAGTCACAGCCCTGCCCAGACTATTGCTTTCAAAAAAGAATCCATTAAAATCCATGCTGAAACATCTTTTTTAAGCTTCCCCCCCCCTCCAGAAGAGAGTCCTGCTTCCTTCCAAGGCAGATATCACTATCTACACTGAAGAAAATAACAATCTCTGCAAGTCACTTCAGCAACTGCTGCTTGCATGCTAGCACACACGGTTCAAGGTGAACCCTGGAGCAGGTTGCCCAGAGAGGTCAAGCAGTCTCCATCTGTGAAGATACACAAAACCCAACTGGACAGGGACCTGAGGAACCTGCTTTGAGCAGGGGAGTTGGACTGTATGACCTCAAGAGGTCTCTTCCAACCTCAGTGATTTCATAAATCTGTGAACCTCATATTTCCACAAGGACTGCATGGTTACAGTGTCAGTGTCGGACATGGAAAGCTACAGGACTTTCAGAAAGCCTAACGATGCTCAGATGCCCAGTTTTAGACAAATAGGGATTCCCTTTTTCAGGAAGCACAGAGAATTCACTGTCAAAAGGACAGGAAAGGCATTAACCTGGACATCTGAGAGATAATTATATTTAAAACCAATGTCTTCATAGATCACGGGACTGCAGAACAGAGTCACCTCAGCAACATCTGCCATTTTCAAAGGGGCAGGCAACACAGAGGGAGGAGGATTCAGCACCATACAAATGGGAGTCAGCAGAGCAGGTAGTCATCCTCCCCTTAACCCAAGTGGTGCAGATCTTTATTTATACAGTTCTCGTAATGTCTACAAGGTTGAAATGAAATGTAAACTGAAGATCATAAAGACTATACTTGATTTATAGATACTTTAAAACATAATTCAAACACAGGTAATGATCACCTGAAACTGGTGATGAACACTGCATTTTCTATTGAAGGACTTTCAAAAGCAGAAGATTTCTCCTTGCACACATACTCAGCCCTCCAGAGTTTATGGCATTCCTTTGGAAAAGAGAATCCCTTGCATTGAACTTAACCCAACACATAATTTTGTATCTTGTGATAAACTGGGCTCTCTATTTAGAGCTGAAGACTAGGATATTATTTTCTTGTCAGTGACTTCCATTTTGAAATTCCATAAAAAAAAAAAAAAAAAAAAAAGCGGCTCAAGATCTCATGCCATTCTCAGATGTATTATTTCTTGTTTGAGTTTTCTACGGCCTCAGGGCCTTGGGATATGACATGACATGACAGCTGCAGAGCAGAAAACACAATTCAGCAGGTGGAAACAAGGAGGGGAAAAACCCACTACACTGGATGGATGTAACTTTTTTGGTCTCCTGAATGTCTCACTGCAGAGCATGACATGTGGGAATACAGAGGCTGATCTAGTTAGGCCAGAACGAGAAGTCAGCCAATTACTAAGCTCTCCTGAGATTTCCCTTGCTAAAAAAAAGTTGGTTCAAGGACTCTGCCATGGTATTTCTGATGATGAAACAGAAATAAGATGAGCTGCAGGGGGGGGTCAGGGGGGCAGGGCAGGGAGCGCAAAGGGACATGGGGACAGGGGAAATATGGTCACCTAACACCGCAGGAGCCAGTGAGGACAGGGGAAGCTTTTCCTTACCTCATTCCTCAACTTTACTAACAGCTTCTCTTTAAAGTGTCAGTTTTAACTGAAGACAAACCTACTTCTTTTTCCTCTTTAAGCATTTATTCTTTTTTCTTGTAAGTTTGACCAGAGGAGGCCAAAATACGTGCAAGACAAACTACTCGCAAAAACTGGATGCTCTCCCGAACACACTGTTCTCATACAGATAACAACAATACTACTGATAGCAGTTTGAGGTAAAAAAAGCCCTACTGAATGTCTCCACTGCTAGAACAAAATCACAACCACTTCCTCAGAGCAGATTTCCCTCAGCACCTCTCTCTCTCAAACAGCAATAACCACTCCAAACAAGATCCTTTTAAAATAATTGAACGTTTTCTCCTAAAGAGATTCCAAAAGACAAGGGAGAGCGCTGTGAATTATTAGTCTTAGTTGTACATAGACACTGCCAACAGGGCCATACAAACAGTATGTCTATAAACCCACAATTATAAAAATACAAACTGATGAGCTTCTGACTTGCCCATCAAGACAGTGATAACACAATCACAATGGTAATTCCAATAATACCCCATCAGAACATAGCTCAGCAATGCAATTTCCCCCAAGTACAGCCATCTAACATATGAAACAGTTACTTCAAGAACTATTCTGGATTTAAACTCAAAAGCCAATAGATGTTTCAAGAATATGACAGTAACAGAAGTAGGAAGGGAATAGAAGAGTAACCTAGCCCAGTAGTTACAATGATTAAAATGATAAAGTATTAGAATAATTCAGGTTGAAGAGGCATGACTTCCAAATGTGGGAATACAACTCAAATGATGCCAATAAAAGGCAACAGTCTATGTCAGGTAACTAGCAACACCAGAAAGTTCCTCCTAGCAATTAACTTGTGCAATAGGCTTTCAGAGCTTCTCAAAGATCTTGGCTCTATTTAGAATTCTATTTCTATCAGTCCTTTCCAAACCCAATTTTTCTTCTTCCGTAAGTCTCCCCCAAATTCATGCCTCAGGATTCTTATGACAAGCTGCAAAGTTTGTATGGTCATTTCAATTTACCAGCACATACAAAAAGACAATGTTTTCCAGAAGACTTCTGGGCATGCTCACTGTAGTAAATATACTTCCCATTAAACCCACATAGTATTTTTAACAGATGCAAGCTTTCCTTGTACACATGGAAAAAAGAAGAGCACGGGATTCCAGAGGGCAATCCGGTGACACAGGAATGCTTCAGCGTTTGTACCCATGGAGAGATGGAATGCAAGAGGCCCAAAACCACTACTTTAAACCTCACACCCAGCCTCCAGAAGCTAGCTGCTTTCTTGTCCAGAGTCACACTAGAAGCTTTCAGCGAGCGCAGGTATTGGCCTACCTTGCATGTATGCTTCTATTTGCCGAATTAGCTCATAAGACTTGGATCGGTCCAGAAGTGTACGAATAGCCGGAAGAGGGTCCAGGATAATGGTTTCTGGATGAGCATCAATGTACTCCTGCAAAACAAATACGAAGGAAAAAAAAAAAAGAAAAGGTATTAGGTTGGCTGCAAGATGTGGAAAAGTAGCGAGATATGGAAGAGAACAGACGTTAAAAACCTCAACATCCAGCTTCTCTTCAACGGGAAGCAAAGAGACACTAGCAATGCAGGAAGTCAGGCAGTCTAGACACTGACATTTAAAACAAACACAAAAGTGATAGCTATCTGGTTTAGGACAGCAAATTTCTCTTGTAGACTCACCAGTGGAACCTGTGCTGCCATCACATCAACTCAGAAGGGAGCCAGTGGCAAAGAGCCACAGTAACAGCTGTGAGGAGGGCTGAGAAAAGCAATTAGGAGAAGAAAGATGACACACTGCTACCTTGGGGTCAGCCTTGCATTGAATTACTGCACATGAACATCTCAGCTGGCTGAACTAGGCTCGGAACTACATCTGGGTTCTGTAACGTTGTTATTATTGCTGTCCTCTAGCTGGGCTGAAGACAGTGTTAAGAGCTGGATGATGAGGGCTGGATTTTTGTTGGCAGAGCTGAAGAGATTGCTGCTTCACTGTGTCTTCGCTGTGTTTTGAAAGCATCTATCTTGCTACTTCTTTAAGCTCATACTCTCCTCTCCTGACCACAAGAACAAAGCAAAGTTAATGTTCTCATGGATCTTCATCTTGGGAACTCAAGTCCCCATTCACTGAGGTCATGACTGCACTACTGCATCTTGGCCATGAACACAGACACAGCTGCCAGGTATTGCCCTTGAAACACACCAAAACTTCCTTGTGTTTCTCAAAACAGAAGCAGAGTTCCTTCATCATTGCCCCAACCTGGCCCCATAAAGTCAATGGGACAAATCAGCATCCATCTTACCCTATCCAAAACCAGACAAACATTTCAAAGTTAGCATCTGCCTTTGTTGTACCCAACTTCCCACTGTCATCTTCACATTTCCACTCATTTTCTTAAATCTGTTCATGTAAATGCATGCTAAATGCTCCTGCAAGTAATGGACTTCCACTCTTCCTTATATTGGTTACCTCAGAGAACAAAGCATACTCCTAAAGATACTCAGGAGTATGATGAGGTGGCCTCGGGAGATGCACTTTGCTGGATACTAAGCTGGAGAGAAAAGTGATTTCACTCCAGACACTGACCAGGGAAGCAGACTTCCTCCCCTAGCACTGGCAAACTGCTGTTTTCTGCTGACTACATAGTCCATACGGATGGCTTGTTAAAAGGGGATTATTCTTTTGAGGCTAAGAGGATCTGCACTGGGGTTTAATGGACCCACTGTATCACCCACAGCACACAAGCAGCTTTCCTTCAACGGGCATGAGGCACCTTGCAGCGGCAATACATGTGTCTCTGACGTATTTAATAATCCCTGCAGAACACAGACAGTGAATTTCCCCCAAGATATGCTCAACCTCACTGCTACTTGGGAAAAGTAAGGGAGAGCACCCTTGGCACAGTCATCAAGACTGTCAGGCCCAGCTCTTGCCTCACCCTGGCAGCGTGGCCTGGATGAAAAGCCTCTTTGGCTCACTGGAGCAGAAGCTGGGTTCATTTCAAGCCATTCATACTCAAAACATACAGAGAACAGTTTTCCTGAGTCTCCTGCCCCCAGCACTTCCAGAATCACAAGCAGAGCAGTCAGCTTCACATACAGAAGAGACAGTGTAACCTGTTACCTAATGTGCCTTAAACGCCTCCGTGTGCCCATGCATTTGTGCCCTTTACGCAGCACCAGAAGACACCCTGCAGAGCTAGGATGATCCAGTGCTTAGGGCTTTAGGGTAAACTTGCTGATTATGGAACGGTACTCCAGTGTCTCAACACACCTAAAGCATAACCAGACAGGTCTTTTAGCACCTCTATGGCTCAGCTTGAGACAGGGAGCTACCACAGTGTGCATGCTCACGAGCACCCCGAGAGGACCAGTGCGTTACAGACAACACCCTGGGGGGAAGCGGGTAAGGACCCCTGGTCACCCAGACTTACTGAGCCACAGCTCCGAAACGTGACCTCAGCAGAGATCTGACAGCAAACATCCTGCAGCATTTCTGGTGCTTGTACTAGCTCTTCTTTCACACTGAGGTGACAACCCCTCTGCCTTGACCAGTCTCCAGTTCCCCCTTGAATGCCAACTCCCCATACCTCCATCGCTGCCCAGCCCCTACGCTGCACATACTACATACCTTCCCCGCTCACATACATCTGTCCTGCCTGTGGCCTCCATCCCCTTCCCTCCAAGGGGGGAATGATTTTTCATCTGCTAGCATGCACCTTCCCAAATCTTCCTGATGATCACCTTGGCAGTGAGGACTATCCTCACTTCCCTGGGTTAGGTGTGTTCCACTTGTTATTTTGGCTCACGTTACATTTAAGTATTTCTAGAGGGAGCCTTGCTTGTTTATGCTTTCTGTAAGACTCTTCATAGTGCTTTATTTATAACTGTACTAGCCTTAAACTGTACTAAAAATCATCCAAGCAGTGAGCTTGACACAGTATAACAAAGTTTAACAGGAACAAAGGCATGATCCTGAGGCCATTCTGCACCTGGCCACGCATGAGCATCTTCGCTACATTTCAGTGACTGATTTCTCATCCTGCTGCCTTAAGGAGCCTCCAAAAAGCTCTGTGGGGCAAACATGAAATAACCAATGAAGATGAAGGAAGAGGTGGACATTTTCCAGAAGCCCTTTAGAGTCTTGAGGACTTTAACAAATAACTCTGATCTCAAGAACCACACTGAGTGTAAAGCCTTTCACACACACAGAGAGGAGCCTGAACATGAGCTTTCTTTACAAAACAAGGAAATCTCCCATCCTCATACATATTTCAGGTACTATTCTCCAGCTCTTTGCCTTTTACAGGCTTAGGTACGCAGGCAGCCAGAGGGCACAGGAATGGCAAAAAATCAGACCGTCAGCAGGGCAGTGAAGATGTGTATCATCTGAGTAAGGGGAAGGAAGGGCTGAATCCAGAAACAGCCTCCCATGTGAAGTAAAGGAGTCTGTCAATGCAGATCAAGGTCAATGTGTTTGTACAAGGCATCTCTATTTGAACACAGCTAGTGGTTAACTGCTGAAGCTGTTTAAGGGAGGAGAGCATCAATATGTGCTTGTAACTCTACATCTCTTCTCATGGTACTGTGTCTTGCTTGGATTTCCATCACAAAGCATTAACTCTGCATTCAGAATCAGAACCATCCAGTTGCAGCAGAATTCCCAAAGCAAATCACCCAGCCTCCCCTTGGGCATGTACGCCGTCTCCCCCACCTCACACCAGCACATCACCAGAACATGCGAAAGAAAGACTGACAATATCTATGCACAGAAAACTACTTAAAATAAATAAATAAATGAATGTTTTAAAAATCCAAACCTTAACACCAGTTTCCCACAACAGGAAATTACAGTAAGAAAAATGAGTTTTGTTAACTTCCCAGGAACAGTTATGGTAGCCGATGGGAAACCTTCCATAAACTTTGATTCTTTACTAGGCACTGCTGCATACTCTGGCATCAGGTTTTACCAAGTATGTAACCGTGATGATCACTTGAAAGACTGGAAAACTCTTGATGTAGCCTAAGTAGCAGCACTCTTCCCATGGCACAGAAAGGCTCCACTACCAAAAATACACATCTTGATGAACATGAAGGGATTGTGTCTAAGAATTTTGATAGCAGATGAGCTGCTACAGATATGAAGTTAAAGATGGGGCAGTTGCAGAAGGAAAAGAGAAACACTGAAGCCAACAGATAGCTTTCAGTACAGCACCACCTTTCAACTTTGAATGTTCAGATCTTCTCCGGTCATCCCAACAAATCAACTCTGCACTCTCCTTGGGTGGATTTACCAAGGACTAGTATCCAACAGCAGACTCCAACAACCCAGGCAACAATCTGGACAATATTTAGGCTTTCCAACAATATTTTGAAAGGGCTCAATCCCTGGGCTGCAGTTCAGCTTGACCCAGACAACATCGGTGTTTTCCTCTTTCTAATCTTTGACAGAATAAAAGCAAACAAGGAGAAACAAGGACTTTTAGCATATCCTCCTTTGTTTGTATTCCAGGCTTGGCATTCAGCAATGCTCTGTACCAGCCTTGTTACTGGCAGAAGGCCAGCAATGAGACTCCAAATCAAAGAGAGACCAAGTATTTCATGTTCCCTATTAAATATTTCTGGATATAACCCAGAGATTAAAAAAAAACACCCCAACTTCTCTTGAGAAGCTTGTGTATAGATAAAATGAGAACTGATTGTCATTTTACTCAAAAAGGTAGCTAATGATTTTTAATCTTTTTAATATTTTAACAGAAAGTTGATCCAGTATCTACTGCAAATATTAGGTCATTAGATGATAAGAGAGACTCACTGACTCATTGACTTGATTTTATTACTAAGTAATAAAACTCCTATAACCTTTCGTTTAATATTAAACAGAAGTTCCATATTCAAAAAATAGTTAGCAAATGAAACAATAACAGCATTTGGATTTGTGTTTTGCCATGTACAGAAACATGAAGATGAATTTGGACCAACACACTGACATCATCCAAAGGGGAAACAGATGTAAAAGACAGACACAAACCTGTCAAGAGTTTGTATCAGATTCAGACTTCAAGTTCCCTTTTTGCTGTCTTGGCCTGTGACGGTCTCTTTTCACAGACATCTCTTTCCAAAAGCAAAGGTGTAGGCAAGTTGGATCTTGAAAACTGATCTTAAAATTGTTTTTCTCTAAATCTAAGAGATCCCTGCAGTGGTTGGGAAGGATGAGGGGGGGCAGCACAGGGAAGTGGGGACAGATCTTTTGTTATATTTCTATTCATTGTGCATCTCAAAGCAACTTTCTGAGTACTCAGCTTCCCTGTTTTGCCTTCAAAAGTTACCACTGCTCCATCTTGCAGAAGTCTACCCTACCAGTTATCACTTGAACAACAAATTTGTAGTTCACTTTGCCTGCCTATGAAGTCTTTCAAGCAAATGTAAGAGAATTAT